CAAGAGGACTGTCATCTGTTCAATAAACAAACACACATGGCTAATAGTGAAGTCAACAGGGAACAGAGTGGTTAAGTGTAGTTAGTGTACTCCAAAGAAACAGAAGTACTAAGACACAGATAGATGCATATGAGAAGGGATTTGTTAGAGAAATTGGCTTACTTGACTGCAAAAGCTGAGATGTCCCACAATAGGCTGGATAACGATGGAAATTGAGAATATGGTTCATATAAGTTCTGTATAAATCTGAATATCTGAGAAGCAAGAGTTCATAGTGTGCCTCTCTGTCCAAAGCTGAAGTGCCCAAAAGTGTGGAGTTGGGAAGGTGCTGCTGGTGTGATTCTCAGAGTCCCAAGGACAGAAGAAGAAACACTGCATTTTAGAAGAGGGAGCAAGAATTCATCCTTTCTTTCTTTCTTTTTTTTTTTTTTTTTGTTCTATCTGGATGGTGCCTGCCCATTGGATGGTGCCTGTCTCCAGTGAGGACAAGATATCCCCACTCAGCCACCAACTCACCTATCAGTCTCTTCTGAAACAATCTCACAGACACACTATGGCAGCCCAATCATTCTGACTAAACCCAGACCTCCTAGACTTCCCTGTCAGCAGAATAACTGCTCATCCCTACTAAAGCACTGAGAGTAACTAGTGCCGTGATTGAAGGTAAATAAATAGTTGCTTTCCCAGGCATCTTAGTGTCATTGACTTAGTAAAGTTGATTCCCAAGATCAACTGTTGCAGAAATCAACTGAAGGAAATGTTAATAGATGAGAGAAAAGACACATAGGATAGGAAGGAATATCAGTACAAAGTGATTCTGCACACCTGAGAAAAAGATATTGGGATTAAATTTATTTATTTATTTATTTTTGTTTTGCTACTGGAGATCGAACTCATGACCTAGTGCTTGCTAGGCTGACACTTATGCTGCTGAGCTGAATCCCTGGCTTATTAACTTTAACCAGACATAATAAGGTAAAAGAAAAAGAAGTAGACTCATAAGACACTTCAGGTAGAAAAAGCCACATGTTTTTCATGCAGCAAAGTGAGAAAGACTACAGAACAAAACATGGGTTAAACTTCTAGGGATGACAGAATAAAATAATGGTTTCTATTCATATGACACACTATAGTTTATACACCTTTCCATGTAAACTAAGTTCCATTGTTTCAATAGCCTTGTGATAAATTAAGTATTAACTAGAAAATAGAGTTAATACAGTAATTTACTCACCAGGGCTAAAATGATTTCTTTGAAGATATTGAATGTACGTACATCCTGAATCTTTTTTTTTTCTTTTTACAACAGAACCTGACTTACGCCTGCCACTTCAGAAATACTTATATATACCTATATTGTCTTTACTTCTCCATATGTTACCAGATAATCGATTTTTTCCATAGCTTATTCAACAGGCATACAAGTACTAGGTAGTTATCTATGTGTTTCTGAAAACTGAGTCAGAGTATACATCTCATACTTTAATGTGCATAAGAATCATTTGAGGATCCTGATAAATGAAGATTCTGATTCAGTGAGTCTTCAGTGGTATCTGAAATTTTGTATTCCTAGAAGGATATATCGGGTTCTGTCCTAGACCCCGATCTCCCAAACGAATGTACGGCGGAAGACAAATTGTATGATTTTTAGGGCTCCAGGAGAGTCAAAACCCTTTAATTAAGCTCGAGGCTTCGAGAGTAAAGACAAAGGATTCTCTGGATGAGTTCACTTATATTAGGACCAAGGACAAAGGGCAGAGAGACTGAGGAAAGTCTCAGGCAGTGAGCAGGAGCACTTTAAGGACATCTCCAAGTAAGTGAATCAAGTCAATTCAGTAGCACTGTCTTATCACAAAGACACGGTAGAAGTGAGACTGTAGGAGTAATCTTTGCAGCTGCAGTCTCTACCTTGTTAATTGGGGTTGGAGCCAAAGGGTACGCAGCTGCAGCCTTATCTTGCCCTTGGCGGTATCTCTGGCCTCACAGGCCACTACGGGCCTCAGCCAGGACTAGTGATTCACAGATGTTCACTTACTGTGAATCAACTTCCGTCGCCAGGCAAGGGGCCTAGGCCTAGGACAGACTCACAGATAAACGCATAAAGCCAATTAGTAAAATTTAAATCCTGCTCGGAGCCACTTCATAGTGGTCTCCAACAAGGATATATTGATACTGCTACTTCATAAGGTAAATTTTGTTTGGAAAGAATGTAGTAATAGGTCTGGGGATTTAGCTCAGCAGTGTAAGCACCTGCCTGGCAAGTATAAGGTTATGAGTTTGATCCCTGGTACCAAGAAGAAAAAAAAGTAGTAATAAAATTGCATGCACATATGTGTGCACGAGGAAAACACAGAGACATTCACACACCAAAGTGTCTTTGCAGCTGTGCCATTCGAGACAGTAGTCATGTGTCTGATTTCAGTTTTTAAGTCCCATCCATTTTCTCACAGGTTTCTGAATACTGCTAACTATATATGTATTTCTTTTCACTGACACAATTGTATTCAATTTCTGTCTTTGCTGGCATGCAGTCCTCAAGGTTTCAAAACGTCAGTGGTCTTTTTCAAGAAGAACTTTCATAAAGAACCACCTCATTGTTAGTTGTTCATTAGCAGTCCTCTTACTGACAACTTGGATGCATGCCCCTTAATTTTGTAAGTATTTTAAAATTAAAATTACTTCCAAATCATTTCACATACTTTTTGTGGTAATAACGTCTGCTGGGAAGCAGAATTCTTAACTCTCCTCCCACAGGTCTTTCCTCTTACAATTCCATAGCCCTGTGGGTTTCCTTAATAGTCTGAAATTCCACAATATAATCCATGTGTGTTGAAAGACATCTGAAATCACTGACATGCCTCAGGGTTTTAGGATTAAGCAATTTTCGGATCTGCCTTTATGTAATTGGGTTTGAAGAGGTGATCTCCTGTGTAAGTCCTTCTTTTAAAATTCCTTCTTCTTCTTTGTCTTCCTCCATTCCTCCTTAGAGGAAATCCATTTATGGTTTGGACATGTGTCACAAGGATCATATTTTCATCCCAATGGAAATCCCCCAACTAAAACTCCAAGAGGTAGACAATATATCTTTGTGTGCATGACAAAGAGGGTAATCTTGAATGCCATGTTGATTTTCATGAAGATCTAAGAAATAACTTAGGAGCCCTTTAGAAAGAAAAGTTCATGCTTGCTGCTCAGTCATAGAAAGCTATTCAGTTGTCTGCTGCTGGGCAGCTGTTTGAGATATGCAGAATGTACAGACTCAGGTAGGCCAATACTAATGTTTCAAAAAGTTCAGCAATCATAGAACAGAGAGTATCTCATCAATCTTCATATATTGCATTCTTGAGATTCATTCAGCTACCACGAGTAGTTTTAGAAGGGCTGCGACCCTGGTTGGACAGCTCCAGTTAAAAATCTGCAGCTGTGTGCAACCACGTGCATTCCCTTCAGTTAATCTAATGTTTCATATTATTCCTGCTCATTTCATTCTTGCACCATCAACTTCACTGTGTTAAATAATTCCTTGTTTAAAGCTTTAAAGCTTTCAGTGTTACAACTTGAACTCTTCTAAAATGACTTCACTTTATTTGGGAGCTTAATGCTCATCCAAATGTCATAAAACTGAAACTCTGAAACCTCTTACTGCTATCCAACTGTGTGTTTCATCAATATATCTTGAACATCAGAGGAATTTTGGTTTGAAGCACCTTACTGCCCTCTGAAAGATTCTGATAAAGTCTGACTCCTCATAAAGCATGTACCTTTCCCTTCCATTTTTAAATGCACCAATGAGGAGTTTAAAATTATTCTTTAGGCAATACATAGTGCTGTGATTTAACTGAAACTAACTACTAGGAAAATTGGTTCTCAGTCCAGGGTGCCACATGATCATCACTCCTGATGACTATAAACTCACATAGTACTTTTGCTGAAACACACAGAAGACAATCCCATTACTAAATAGAGCAAGTCAGTTTTGATAAGTTTCTTCATTAAATAATAGTGAGTCTTCCAGGGTATCTATTGCACCTGACTATAAATGGTCCACATTTTGTTAATACATTATATAATATGTTAGTGACATATAACAGTTATGACAGACCTTTCAATTAGATTACACTAGTGTTTACATTCTCAGTTCTTGCTTTGTGCAACATGGGTTTTGCTCCAACAGCATTCTCCTAACAAGGTACTTCTGACAGTTGGTGGCTGCTACTGCTGCTGGGAAATTCTTCATGGTGTCTGCACTGGGCCTCCAAAACTTTGCCTGGAAAGCTTAGCTATTTTCTGCTTTAAAATTTCAACTATATGCTTCTAAACCTGAAACAGATGTTATCTTGGCTGCTGTCACTCATGGTGAACTTCTCTATTCGTATTTACACTGGGCAGGTAATTTACTGACTTCATTCTGGTAGACAGAAAGACAGAGAGGGAAAGAGAGAGAGAGGGGGAGGGAGGGAGGTAGAGAATATATAAATTAGAGGAATAGAGCTACACAGAGACAGAGAGTACAACCATTTGAGCAGCTATTACCCTAATATCATATGCTATAGTGTGGCTATACTGATTTGCCTGGCATTCCTCTTGCATCATTCTTGTGGCCACCTAGATTAACTCTGTGAGCTGATCTCTTGACTTAATATCAGCTTGCTCTTTTTAGCTCCCATGTCATTTACTATCCTTAAAAATGTAGTACTTATTACTCAGCCATCTGTGTTTTCAAGAACCCACGGTCTTTTTTTTTCCTTTTTTTTTTTTCTGTATGGGAACCAGACTAGAAAACATTAAATGAGAAAAATTAACCACTCAGAGACAAGGTGGAAGCCCAGGAAACAAAAAAAAAGAGATTTGTCTTTTATGGTTTGTACTTTGTAAGCTGTGGGTGTGACTCAATTTCCTCACCACCCACATAAAAAGGTTGCCACCCAATCACTGTTTTTTTTTTCTATCTAAAAGCCCTCCCCTTTGTTTTTGGCTAAGAGACCCTAAGAAAGACAGCCCTTTCTGGACGCTGCATACTGTGACATATAAAAGCTGTTAGCTGCTCCCGTAACCAGCAGCATTCAAATCTTGCAGGCTTTTTGCTCTCTGGAGCTTGTAATAAGACACACTGCTCTTACAAGCCTGCTACAACATAACAAAGAACTTTAAGTTTTTGGAAGAACTGTGTATTCAGTTTGGCATTGTGCAGAGGTAAGCTATTTGGCTCAACAAGTTTATATTGCATGTATTGATTTAAAGTAGCTGACTTTTTTAAGAAATGAGATTGGATTTCTATACTATTTTGTATGTGTTCTATCAAGTCGTGTATGTATATGCCTGGGAGACATGATCAGCACATTCTCTGTTGTGACCTGCAGAGGAGTTTTTCCTCTTCACTGTCAAGGTGAATTTCAGTTCTTAAAGATTTCCCACTAAAAACAAATTGACAGCAATTCACTTTATAGCTCCTATATTTGGGGTAAATGTTCACATTTATGTTAGGGTTAGTGATCATGCTGTTTAGTTTAGAATCTTCTACCTTTAGAAAGCTCTTCTTAGGGGTCTGCTACAGACCCCTAAGATAAATAAGGAAAGTGAATAGAGATTCTGCTATAAATTGTAAAACATTTGTTTGAATTTTTGCAGAAAGTCAAACAAGTGTTTCTCCCTAATGAAGCTGTGAATTCAGATCCTGTGACCCCACTGTTTTTTAAAGACCCTAACTCTACCTTTCTGCTTTAAAGCAAGCTCAGTGGCCTCTTCATTCCTGAAAATGATAGCAATCTCTGCCGCCAGCAGTGCGCTCCTGTTCTCCCTTCTCTATGAAGCAAGTACTGTTGTCTTACTCAATTCCACTGACTCATCTCCGCCAACCAATAATTTCGCTGATATTGAAGCAACTCTAAACGTACCACTAGATTCAGCGGATATTCCCAAAGCCAGGCGGAAGCGCTACATTTCGCAGAATGATATGATCGCCATTCTTGATTATCATAATCAAGTTCGGGGCAAGGTATTTCCACCCGCAGCAAATATGGAATATATGGTAAGAGGAATACTTTTTTTTTTTTTTTTTTTTTTTTAGTCCTGAGTGGGAAAGCTTTTATTTGTGCGTTGGAAGGACCTAAAAAGACCAGATATGTTTACATGTTAAATCATAAGGGTTTTTACATTTCAACATAGCAAAAACTTGTATGTGCTTAATTATGTTAAATATTGTCCCATCATAGGCTCTCTCTCTCTCTCTCTCTCTCTCTCTCTCTCTCTGTGTGTGTGTGTGTGTGTGTGTGTGTGTGTGTGTCTGTAGATTTCTCTTCTGTGAGTCTCATAACTACTGATGAAACACATCTTTAGAAACATAGAAGAGTATGGCATATTGACTGATCACATTTGGAAGGACTCCTTTATAAAAGAATTACATGGAATCTTTTTTGTGCTTTCTGAATCCAGTAGTCACATTTATCAACTAAAACATTTCTTGAAAGTATTTTTTGAAATTATGGGTTTCATGTGCCTGATTTATGCTTGGGTAGGTGTCTCTTTCCTTTCTTGGACAAAGTTCTCATGAGCACTAATCTATTTGCATTCTAAGAGAACATGCTGACTTTTCTTCCTTGTGATTTAATGCTTTGTCGTTGAGATAACAGTGAAGCCAATGCACTTGTGCACTGTTCCAACTTGCCATGGACACATTCTTTGCTCTGCCGTAAAAATAGACTCTGTGTTTAAACCACTTTATTCAGTACAAAAAAATAAGTTGGTATTAAAAAGAGTCTTGTTAAAGTTTGCTTTTAGTTTTGAATTTATTCAAGGTTATGTTTTAAAGTCCAGCACTCTGACAACCACAGTGTTCAGCCTATATTGAGGCAATGGAGACCACTAAAGGGTGTTTCCACATTGAGATGGGGGCATGTGTTACCACTAATGGTTTTACAGTGCTGAACTAAAATTTGAGATTCCTATCAGATTCTAGATTCATCTATTTTATACAAATAAGTTTTAAAAGTTTAGTTTCAGGTGCTTATGTCACAGGAAAAATAAAGACTTGTCATATTGCGGATAGGTCATAGAAATCCAATTTAGACTATGAAAATGCAATTTTCTAGAATGCTTTAAAGGTGGAAATGTAATTAGTCCTGGTGAGTGATAGACTGTGTGGTCTCATGATTAAATTTATGAGGTCTGGAATTTAAATGCTTGTTTTCAAATCCTACTTCTGCATTATAGGCTGTGTGAACTCTGTATCTCATTTCTAAAAGAAGGATAAAGGTAATGTGTACCACATAAATTTCTAAGGAATATATAAATCGAAGAGTAGAAAATTACATTACAGTCTCTGGATAGAGAGATGTTAAATAAACACTAGCTTTTGTGGATTTCTTTTAACTTTGTGTGAAAGATGTACAGAGAATACCTATTCAGGATTCCCAGGTAGGAAAGGTATCCATATAGAAGTTTTTGTAGTAGGTAATGTAGACATATAAAGAAAAGAGGAGCAAATGAGTTTGTAAAAATTACTATGGATTAGGAAAGAAATATGCATTAGATTCTGTGAGTGTTCAGAAAGGTATAATATTCAGACTGTAGGGTTGGGGTGGCTTTCTGACAGGAATGCTACTGCTGTGCTGACTAAGATGAGGACCAAGAATGCTTCAACAGTTTTGGAAGGAAACTCACCCAGGCTACTTACTGCTTACTTCATAGGTTTTCATTTGTTATATAATGTGTGTAAGGTTCAGTTTTCCTCTCTTTTCTCCTAAAATGAGAATAGTAATAATCATAAAGATCGATCAATAAGAAATGTAATTCAATATTTTGAAGACATTGTGAGCAGAGGTATCAGCCTGAGCAAAAGCATAATGGGTAAAATATAGTTGAAATAGGTTGAAATGCCATGCTTTTGTAGTAATATTTCCTCCCACTTAACAAGCATCAATCCATTCCATATGCATGTTTTTAATTGCTTCTTCATGCCAAGGGCTTGACTAATTGACTTCATAGATGATCTTAGTCAGTAGCTCCTGTTCTCCAGTGAGTTTAAGATTATGATCTTTATTTTACAAATGAAATCACTTGACTGTGAGAAATTAATGGCTAAGCCAGGGTGGTATGGATAATGAATGGTGTTACTGGCATGAGAATTTAGGTGTTCATGATTCCAAAGTCCGTATTCATATTGGGAAGCATCTCACAATCAGAGAACTCTCTCAAGATGTCAGGGTATCTTTGTTTCCCCCCATAAAATGTCAAGTGAAATCATGGAGTACTCATTTTCTACTTGTTATTGTCTCATTACTTTCTTCTCAGTTATCAAAACAATTATGCATGACTTACTTTTCAAGAATCAGAAAAATGCTAATTATATTATGAATCTTCCTTAATTCAGTGAAAGTAATGAGAAACAGTAGCTAGAACAGTTAAGCTTTATAAATCAATATGAGGGCCATCTGTAAATACTTATTATTCATGTAAATACTTAACATATAGATCACTCACATATATTTATGAATTTAACATGCATTAAGCATTTACTACGTGTTATCATTATTCTAAGCTCTAGGAATACATTCTTTAATGGAACAGATACACATTCTTGACCCTTTCGTGGGAATCCAACAACAAACCAAATAACTAAGTGTTACACTATGTTATAGGGTATTAAAACTATGAAGATGAGTGAGTTTTGGTGAAGCTTGGATATTTAATAAGGATGTAAAGGCAGGGTTCACTGAGACTGGCCTGGGGACAGGTGAAGGAGGAAGTCATCACTGGTGGGAGAGCCATGGGTAGAGTAAAAAGAAAGGGATCTGAAGTGAGGGAACACTGATTAGCCCTAGGAAAATGTGCTCCTGCTAGTGAACTCATTAAGTTAGAAGGGCTCAATTCTTAGTAAACTGAACAATGGAAATACTTCAGATCTCTCATGAGAAAACCTGCTGGGAAGCAAAACTAATAGGTAGCTTGAAGGTCTGAGTAGGCACAGGACATAGTTTAATTCTCTAAGCTAAGTGAAAACTAGAGATCTCTGCTGGATACTGTTAGTTTAGTTTTATTTTAACTTACTCAACACTGATTTGGACTGAGAGGAACTGAAAAGCTAGCTCAGTTGCTAATCCATACTATGTATCTCATAGGACAACCCTCCTGTGATCACCTTACAAACATCTGTGCTCTGAGTCACCAGCCCTATATTCAAATTGTCTTCAGTGATGATTTCACAGAAGATGGCCTTTGGTTCAAGTCTTTTCTAATCCCTGCAACCTTATTTGTAACCACTCATCTATAACTCTGAGCCTTTTACTGTTCCATGTGCTCTTCCTTGAATGTCTCCTCCTCAGTTATTCTTTTATTTATATTCTTACTTTTCAAATTTTTGATATCAGAATCTTGGAAACTAATAGTATTTCTTACACCCACCTGCGATTTCTCCTTCTTTTGAATTTCTGATTGTCATAATGCTCACATTATAATCTAACATAGTTACGGGTATTTGTGCATTTCTTGCTAACTTGTCAGTTAAGCCTTCAAGATGTTAATTTTATGACTATGCATCTTTGTGTCTCTCTTTTCTCAGGTAATTTCTTAGATATAAACAACTAGAAACCTTTACTTGTTTGATTTGGTTGAAATCCATGTTGCTATATGCTTATAAACTGTATCACTTTTGATGCTATGCTAAATAGTTTACTAGTTTCTTCATCTTTATAGTTTATCACACACACCTGAAATAAAGGAAAATTTCATGAATTCTAAAACATCCCTTCAAATTAATTTGATCTTTCTTAAATAATTTGCTATGTATAATTGACTAAATAAAGCAAAAGCAATTTGAACACTGGAGTGTTGACATTCATTTATGGTTCCATAACATTTTCTTTGTATATTTTGTCCATTATTTTAATTTAAAAACTCATTGTTTGAAATATTTCACTTTGTAAAGTACTGTCTTTTCATATGTATGCTAATATAGACAGGGCTTTAACTATGCAAGTACAACTTCTTTATCCTTGGCTTCTGTTCTACAATTAGTTTCTTGAATAATTTCCAGAACTCCTTGGACACCAGCTGTTTTTCATTCTTCTAAAGGCAGCTTAAACTATGACTCTAAACCACAAACCACACTTGTTTCTTAGAATAAGAATTATCACCAAAAGAATGAAATTGTAACACTCACATAGAGTAAAATTTGTTGGATATTCCCTGAATCCAAGTCAATTGAATAAGTTAATTTAAAAATTTTAAGGTCCCTCCATGAGAAAGGCAATCCAAAGATTAAAAGCTTTGTCCTTAGAGCATAAACAATGCTGTAAGAACAAAACAAATAGAGGGGAAAACCACTAAGAGTATAATTCAGCATAATACACTGGTGCATAAGATTGATGTAATGAAAGAGGGACAGACAAATACTGTGGATGAGTTAAAGAAGAAAGCGATAATCTCCAGCTGGCATATCATGAAAGGCTCCTTGGAGGAGGAACATTTGAGATAGATGCTTAGAAAGGGGCAGGGCAAATGCTCGAGCAAAATCACCAACAGAGAAAAATTGTAACTGTAGGCTTAGTTTTTTTTTAAGAGTTTGAGAAAAGCTTTTGTATTGTTTGAGACAAAAGCAATTAAGGAGACTGAGAAGTTTAGTCCTTCCCTCATATTTTTTCAGTCCTGAATATTGAATTCAGAGTCTTTTATACACTAGGCAAGTGCTGCAGAGGTATATTTTAGGAAGATGCGCCTTGCAGCTCAAGGAACTCAGGGTGGGTCAATGAATGTGACCATAAAGATAGCAACTGCTGAGTAAGCATACTGAGTAAGTGATTTCTTAAGACCAATGCAACAATGGTCACTTACAGTGAGAAGCAGAAACAAGTACTAGTTCATAAGATGGCAGTCTGCACAGAGTATTGGAAATGGTGAGGCTTGATGTGAAATAATCATGGAAATAAACTAAAAAATAAAAATGAAAAATAAAAAATATGTAGTGTGATTTTAAGAAGCAATTATGTTGGTAATATGGCTACTTTTATTTCTTTAGTGCATAAATATTATTTG